CAAAGCATGTCATAATCTTGTGATTTCAATCCTTTTAAGTAAAAGCACAAATGATGGCTTTGAACTCTTCTAATCACGAGTTCTATCTATATTCCCCAGGTTGTTCATGTTCATTCAAGTTGTCAATCAATAACTTTTATGGTGAATTTAAATGTTTTTTAATTTGTACTATATGATGAATTCAAGTACGAACTATAATTTTCAGTGGCATATCCAGGGGGTCTCTCCGGGCCACGGCCCAGTCCTCCTCCCGCTTCAGACTTGTATAGCACTTATAAAATTTCAATTTGAGGTGTTTGGTCCAGTGCTAGTGGGTCATCGCCTCGTCCTCGTCACCTCTTTTCAAATGTCGCTCAGTACTCTACTATGTCATGGATCCGTCACTGATTATTTTAGTTTAATGTTATATATTATTACTCATAAATCATATGAAATGATATAATTTATATATATATATAAATAATATTATGATTTTTTCATATATTCGGCTTTAGCCATGCTAAACCAGACAAACAATCAGACCTTTAACTTTTCACTCACTTACTCGACTGGAGTCGAGCCAATAGTCTAAAGCAGGTTGACAAACTTGCCTAAAACAAAAACTTGGCTATCCTACCGACGTAGAAGGTGAACAAGACGCGATCCAACTATATCAGTCCCTTTTGGTCATCTACGTACAATACAATTGAACCCTAGAAATATACAGGTTGATAGCAAGGGTTATCGGGGTTTACTCGGCTCTGAAAGACTATAGCCCGTTTGGAATCACATAAAATTCAGGAAATATAATTCTATTACCCAAAGTTTTCGTGACCTTCACTAATCCCTAAGATCCAGTCCCCAGAAGAGATGAAATTCTTTAGGCCAATTTCATGTTGCAATATTCTATATAAGTGTATGGCCAAAATACTTGCTGTGAGACTGAGCTCTGTTATGCCCTGCATAATTAGTGAATCTCAAACTGCATTTGTTAAAGGTAGGATAATAGGGGAAAATATTCTACTTGCACATGAACTGGTTCAGAAATATGGAAGAAAGAATATCTCCCCTAGGTCCTTAGTGAAGGTTGACCTTATGAAGGCCTTTGACTCGGTTGATTGGGGTTTCCTTTTTAATACTCTGCAAGCTATGGGGATACTTGATAGGTTTTTGCAATGGTTGAGAATGTGTGTTACCACACCTAAACTGAGCATTGGGTTTGATGGGGGTTCAGTTGGATATTTCTCTGCTAGGAAAGGGTTGAGGCAGGGAGATCCCCTCTCCCCATATCTGTTTGTTGTGGCTATGGAAATCCTGTCTTGTTTAATGAAGGAAGCAGTTAAGAAAAATGAGATGCCCTTTCACCCCATGTGTAAGAGACTGGGACTAACCCACCTTATGTTTGCTGATGATCAACTGTTATTCTCTGATGGATCTAACTATGGGATCCAGTGTATTAAGAAAGTTCTAGCTGAGTTCAGAAGAATATCAGGACTAAAATCAAATCCAGCAAAATGTGAGCTTTACTGTGGTGGCATTAGTGTGAAATGGCAGGAGACTATGGCAAATAATTCAGGGTATAAGTTGGGGGTGCTTCCAGTTAGATATTTGGGTATTCCCCTGCTGCCAGGAAAACTTACTATTAAAGCTTGCACTCCTCTTATTGATAGGGTGACATGGAGAATATCTAGCTGGAAAGCAAAAGCTTTGTCTTATGCAGGGAAGTTTCAATTGGTCATGTCAGTATTGTATAGCCTCACTCAATTCTGGATGTCAATTTTTATCCTTCCTAAGTCAGTTATCAGAGCAATAGAGAAGCTGTGCAGTGACTTTTTGTGGGGTATGGGGGATGTCTCTAGGAAAAGGGTTGTGGTTGCTTGGCCAAGGGTTACATATCTTAAGAAGGAAGGTGGTCTAGGTTTTAGAGACATGGTATCTTGGAATCTGGCTTGTGTTACAAGGCATATCTGGGCTATACTGTTGAAACAGGGGGTCATTGTGGGTGGCCTGGGTTTGGGAGTATAGAATCAAGAGGTGTGATTTTTGGACTGTCACTTCAAAGGCAGGGTCCTGGTTGTGGTTGAAATTGCTGAAATACAGAGATAGGATGAGTAATTATATGGTGGCTGGGGCTAATGGGGTTTACTGGAAAGGAGAACATATGGAAAATTTTCAAATAAAGAAAGTCTGGGAGGAGCTTAGAGCCAAAACCAACACTGTCTCATGGTACTCTCTGGTTTGGAAAGGAACAAATATCCCCAGAAACCAGTTCTTGGTATGGCTCATAGTGAATGATTACATTATGACAGGGGACAAGGCTCAAGGGTGGGGGGCTGCATGTAATCACTACTGTGTATTCTGTAACACTACCCTGGAAACAAGATCACATATGTTTGCAGAGTGCCTTGTCTATAAACAGCTCTTTACAGCGTTGTTTGCAAAGTACTCTAATCGTTCTCCTGGAGATCAGTGACTGTCTGAATTACAGTGGGCATCCCGGTATCTTACACAGAAGAATGATACGGCTCAGGTGGGTAAAGTGATTTGGCAGAGTCTGGTTGCCAGTATCTGGAGGGAGAGATGCAGGATTAAGTTTGGAGGTAAGGTGTTTGACATGAAGGAGCTGACTCGACTGATAAAAGGAGATCTGAGGCTGTTACTGGACCATGGGATCCTAGATCGTTTTTTCTAATTTTATGGTTATAGTTTGGCTAGTCTGTTTGGTTTAATGTGAATTCCTTGTAAAAGGTTCATTGCTCAGCTGGCTAGAGCTTGTTGCGAGCAAAGTTGTTTGCCCCATTTTTGATGAAATGAAAAGCCCTACCATTCATAAAAAAAATGATTAAAAAACATCACAATGAATTGTAAGAGGCAAAAAAAAAATAGAAATTAGATCATACCAAAAGTTCTAGGATTTGTTGGGATGGGAGCCTATCGATATTTCGGATGGATGTTGGTCCCAACATTCGAATTCGGAGTGAAACGGATTCTCTCATCTATCTATATTCTCAATAGGCTAACCTCTTGACGTTTGAGCCTTATTTTCTAATTTTTAATGGATAAATCTCAATTCTTAATACTCTAAACTCAAACTATAAATCAATTTAATCAAAAAATAATAACCGATGGTTCTGATTCGTAGAAATACATTTAATAAGTGTGAACGGAGAGTTATTATACGATAGACATACGCTAACCTTTGTCATACATATCTGGTAACAGCTCACATACTCCTAGAGCATACCATACTCCAAGTGATATTTGACGTAAATTGATTTTTGGATTTGAATTTAAAGAATCAAGATATGAGATTTATCCATTACAAGTTAGGCTACAAAATTATACTCTATATCAACTTAATTCATGAAACCGCCTAAATATACTCTGTATTCAACTTAATTCTTGCAACCCTTTTGCCCCCGCTAGCAATGCAATATATTTTTGTCAAAAAAAAAAAAGGCAATGCAGTATACGTAGTTTGAATATGATGGACTTGACAAGCGTGTATAGCTAGATTGCCCAATTATGGTTTATATATAATAACACCAGAAAGAATGAAAAACACACAGGCGACAGCGACTTCTGAACAACCAACATTGTGTCATGAACTAATTTCAACACAATTTGACTATACTAACACATATGCAGTGTATAGCTAGCTTAGCCACAGAACAAATCATTACGTTGTCTAGCTAGCTAGTTGCGTAATCCCAGAGTAAATCCATCGTCATAAACAGAAATTAAAAACCCAGGTCGACTAATAAAGTGAGAGATTAATGTCTACAGAGCTTCCACTCAAATCGAAAACATGGGACAAAAATCGCATGCTTTCGAGGATTTAAAAAAAAAACATAGCAGCAGTGAATCTCCACTCCACTTATTGGTTGGTACAAGTGTGTAGCTGATCAATCGTTTTGAGGGAAGTTGCGATCTATTCAAAAAAGTTGCGATCTGTCAGCACAGGATAACGCAGCATGTTACTTTTGGGAAATTGAAGCTTTACTTTAGCTCGTGCCATATCACAGTTCTGGTCTTTTGCTTTGCTGCCCTCTTGTGATTGTAGAAACAAAAGCTTACCACTATTTTTGTATTGATATTCTTGTTGGTGATTATTAGAAGATTTTCTCACAAAATGCTACGCCACGAGAATTCAACCCAAAGAATATCGTAACCAGCATATTTGTCAGCTCTGTGTAGAATGTAAGGGTGTAACCTTGGTGCTAGAGATCCATTGATTTGCCCCGATCTTATTGTCAGTTGGGTTAGTTTGGAATCAGGTCATCTTTGATCTTGTATTGATCGAGTAGGGTTGGGTTTACTTAGGACTGGATCACTTTTTAAATGTGTGTGTCCATAGCAACAACTAATGATATGAAACAAGTTCCTCATACTAACATATAGGGCCAAGGGCCTGTTTATAAGATTTTAAAAGTTTAGGTACTATAATGCAAGGTATAAATGTAAAGGTACTAAAACACAATTTATCACCAAATTTTGTGGATCTATTTGTAAAAACAATGAGCTTTAGGTATGAGATAGTAAGAAAAACAAATTTGGTTACCAAACTATAATTTCAGAAAAATCAATATATTGATTTGAGCCGAACCAACTCTGAAAGATCGTATAGGGTCAAGAAGGAAACAAAGGTGGAAACAAAACAGGTCAATTGCACAAGTTGCCTTGGAGGATTGGCCAGACAGGACCAGAGACGCATCATTGCCAAATTTCAGCCCTAAATCTAATCTGATTCAAAGACACTCTTGGGTTCAATTACTTGAAACTACTCGGAGAGAAAAGCGTTTATAACTTCCTCTACACTGATAAGTGATAACTCGTGGACTACCACAGATTCTCTTGTAATCTGTCCAGAAAGTGGAGCGTGTGTGCTCTGTAATAGTTGAAGAGCGTTGAAGCAAAGGACTAATAAAGAAAGCATGTGGGGTTGGTCCTAGGAGAGGAGAGGTCCTCTGAAGCAAAAGGGACATCTCATTGGTCCATATAAAACCGCCCAATCGCTGCTGATCCGTTGTTTTCTTTTGTTACCCTGCTTCAAAGTTTCAGCATTGTAACAAACAAACAAACATATGAAGGAGAAACATAAGCAACCGCCCAAGGAAGGAACTGTTGCCTCTTCACGTCAAACTTAGAAACGCCGCCAAACAACACAGTCCTTACATGGGAAGGAAAGTTGCATGCAGTTTCCAGCTGCCATATCAGCATACGAGAACTCACTGTAATCTTTTACCAGCAAGGACTTGGTGACTTTTGGCTTTCTCATTCTGCCACCGAGAACATTGAAGAAACAAGCAAGAGTCGCATTTCTAAGAGCTGCAAACGGAAACTATAACCGATTCGATCTAATTCTTCGTTCACTGTAAGATGGACAGACTAATAACCATAACTCTTGAGATACGGGAGATGTTCCATGTACATGCAATACAAACTTCTCAAAACACAGAGACCTAATGGGCTCGTCACAGAGACTTGAGGTACGATCTGAAATAGGACGACGATGAAGAAAGTCGGAACAAGAATCGTTCACTTCGGTCCAGCAAATTTGCTCATCATTTTTGCAATTACAGGAGCCACCTTCGGATTAGACTGGTGCTTCGCAAGGTTGGCAGGGTTCTTCATAACTGGAACAAACACAAAGGTGAAACATTCAAGCATCATACATCTATATTCAGAAACATCAATGAAGTAGAAGTTGAGGCTTAAGTTATGATTACTTGCAATGATTACATGCCCAATATTTTACCCCAATCACTTATCACACTAACCAAAGCAAAGCAGAAGTTAATGATAGTTATTCCAATTGATCACCAATCCATAGCTAAAACACCTAAAAGTAATTAAAACTCTAGTTTCTTCTTTTACTGGAAACCATTTTGTAGGTTAATCAGAACCAAGTCCCATCTAATGCCTTGTAGCAAGTGCCCATCTGTTCTCAGGAGTCTCAAAATCTCTAGGGGCCAAGAGAACTTATATGGCCTTAAGAATTGTTATTTCCGGGTTTGTTCATCTACATCTACTGGGAAAATTCCCTATTCTCCAAATCCAGTATTGAGTTAAACAGGGAAGTTGACCATGAATGAAGAACACAAAATTGGTCGAAGTTCACAATTTGACACAACAAAACAAAGAGACCTGACGGAAGCATTGTGGAGTACGTGGCATGATAAAAGCACTTACCATCTTGAAGAGCAGCCATAATCTCTGGATCGCTAAATGCAGCCATCATGTCAGGGTCCTGCCAATCATTGTATACAATTAACAGCATAGCAAACAGGAAGCAACAATGTAAAACTATACAGGAGTTTTATATTCTCCCAGTCAATACTACTCCGAGGTAAAAAAAAAAATCATTGCTAATGAAGCCAACCGCATCCACTACAACAGATTATAATCGTTGTACCAGATATGCAGGGGCATATATTTTAAAAGAGTGGGACACACAAATGAAATGCCATAGCAGCTAACTCACCTTTGATGAATATAGAAAACAGCCTATTTATTATTTGGACAATACTCACATTCAGTATTTTGCTGAAATCAACATTTCCAGGCGCTCCACCTGGCATGCCACCAGGAAAGCCACCTGGCATGCCACCAGCTCCAGGAAACCCTCCAGGCATACCTCCTGCTCCCGGAAACCCTCCAGGCATACCTCCTGCTCCTGGAAACCCTCCAGGCATACCCCCTGCTCCCGGAAACCCAGGCATGCCTCCTGGGAAACCTCCAGGCATTCCTCCTGGAAACCCTCCAGGCATTCCACCGGGTCTTCCACTGGAAGATGATTGCTCTTGCTTCTTAGCCTTCTCATATTCGGCCTTCACAGGCATCACACAACCACAAAATTGAAAATTCAGAGACTTATCTAATGGGGGTGGAAAGTATAGCAGAAGATCACATAGATGAAGAAAAAGCAAGGAAATGGAGCTTGGATGAATCTAAGTTAGTGAATCACAACTCACTTGAGCTTTAGCACGGCGGCGTTGCCTATCCTTCTCAGCCTTTCTATCCTCTCTCTCTTTCCGCAACCTATCATACTTCCTACGGTGCTCCTCAAGCTTGTGTGCATTGGGTTCAACCTACACAGTAAAAGAAGTCAGCAATTAACTCAACCACCTCAAGACTATTAAGAGTAAGAAACACTTGGACCACGCCACTTCATTGGCACTGTACTGTAAAAACTGGGCATAGGTGAGAGTACAATCAGACAGACCTTCTTAAGAACTGCACTTATCTCCTCATCATAATCCAACTTAGACGCAACGTGAAGATCCTTAGCAGCCTCCTCCCACTGACCAAGCAACGAGCGTGCCATGCCACGAGCTTTGTACCCCTTAGCAGAGTCTGGATTTATCTGTCCATTGGAGATTCAAATGACCGCTTAAAACTAGACAACTATACTCAAGCTACATATAATTGCTAGTTCGGCAGGCAACAAACCTCAAGAGCAGCATTGGCATCCCTAATAGCAGCATTGGGTTTCTTCATCTTGATATAAACAGTGGCTGTCATCACGAATACAAAGCCAATCACGAGAGCAGCTCAAACCAGCAACACACAGTATCTCCTAAGGAACATTCAATCAATTTGAACACCATACCTCTAGTCCCGTACATTATAGCAGAGAGCGGATTGAGCAGGATAGCTTCGGTCAAATGCTCAACAGCTTCTTCTAATTTACCTACAGACCGAAAAACCAATAGATTCTATTACGACACTCAATAGACAGCAAGCAAGCAAGACGCACGCTAGCAATGAAGAAATGAACATTTATGTCATACCTTCGGAGATAGCTTCCATAGCTTTGGCCTTAGCCTCCTGTGAAGCATCACGGCTTTCCTCAGTGACCTCTACCGACGAATCTCCCATCTAAAGAACAGCAGCACAATTTCAAGACCGTCTCAATCACATAACCAACAACTGAAATTCGAAGACCTAAGAAGTTCGTTCAATTACCTTTTGCGGAGGATCATTGTCAGGCTCAACAGTCTCGCCTTCCAGCTCGACATCGGACTCAATTATCTCATCCTCCTCTTCTTCCTCCTCCGGTTCCTCAACCGACGGCGATTCCTTCTCCGGAATCTCCTCGTCGCTCTCCTCGTCTACATGACTCTTCTGCAAATCACACACGAAAGTCGAAACGCAACGATCCTAAGACGAAAACAAACAGGCACAAACGAGAAAACCTAAGCAGCGGGAGGAACAAACTTCGGGCTTACCGATCCGGAGTAAGCAGCGGGAGGTAGTTTAGCACCGAGACTGAAGGCAACCAAAAAAAAAAAACAGGCAACAGTAAATGCAGAGAAACAGAAGCAACCATCACTGAGAGCTCAGCATAGAAGCAGAGGCAAGTAGTAGATACCTCTCGAGGTAGTCGCGGAAGAAGGCGAGGGTGGGATCGGTGAGAACGGAGGGATTGGACTTGCAGAGCTCGACGAAGTTCTTCAGCTCCTTGAGTTTGACGGCGTCCATTGCGCGAGCTTGGAGTTACGGATTAGGTTTACAAAGTGAAGGATGGGGATTGAAAGATCGGAGATGGAGGGAATTTCCTCGATGGTTTTGGAGTGGGAAGTGGGAGAGTGTAGGGAAGAAGATGGTGGAATGAAGGAAGGGAGACCGGCCGACTAGGTTGGATTTTACTTCTTCTAGTAGCTTCCTCGATGACTCTCTAGTCTACAGTACAGGGAGAGATTCTGAAGGGATTTAGCCATTTAGGTTTTACTTTACTGGATTGGATAACGATCGGGTTTAACAATGGGCGCGCGCCGCGGCCCTAGGGGCTAGGGCCTAGACTTCACCGTCAGTCCGTCCATGTTTCTGAAGGGATTTATCCTTTTAATTTACATTTGGTTAATACCCTCATTTGTCCCGAAGTTTAGCATTAGTGATAGTTCTGACTCCATTTTTTAAATAAGACATTTATGACGTACTTTTGAAATTATTTGATTAATTTGGCCCGACGTTTGGATTGACTGTTAAAATTGACGGTCATTTATGACGTACTTTTGAAATTATTGGACAAATTTGGCCCGACGTTTGGATTGACTGTTAAAATTGATGGTCAATGACTTTTTCCGTGAGTGACTATGCTGAGGTGACTATGATGTGGCTGCCACGTCATTATTTGACTAGAAAAAACATAAATAAATTAAAAATTAAAAATTAAACAAAATAAAATTAAAAATAAAAAATGCGAAACTAAAAATCCCTAAAACAACTCTCTCTATCCTTACTCCACCTCCGTCCGCGCTCTCCGTTCAGATTCAATTCCAAAATCAAATCCCATCGGATTCGGCTGCGGGAAGATAGGAGCAGAGATGGATTCTTCGCTGGCTGGTCGGGAAGGTTGGCAGGTGATGCCTTTTTCTCTTCCTCCAGTCTTCTTCTCCGGGAACTCGGGATGGACTGGTGCGACGGTGATTGGAGGTGGAAGAAATTAGTGCAGAGTGCTTGGATGAGGGAGAGGAAGGACCGACTGTCGCAGCGGAGCATACATCACCGCCATCTTGGCGATGACGCTCACTGGGCTCGTGTAAGTCTTCCCCAGAAACCCATTCACATCGCCGATCAACCCTAGATTCATATGCGCTGGGCAATACGCCTTAGTTGTAGATCCGCGAATCCTCTTGTGTAATCGGCACAACCCTGTTGGCGCCTTGTCTCTCCGGGATTAGTAGCAGCTCGCCATCGCATATGAAGAAGAGGCGGTCGATGGGAGCAGAGATTCGGGGCTCCCCAGTGCCGCTTCTCTCCGGCTTCTTTGCTCGACTCATTAACCGATGCTTCCTTCCCCTTAGATCCCACTGGTTCTGGCTTGGTATTTGTTCATTTTACATGCTTCAATTGGGGATTTATTTATCCCACTACCATTGGCCATCAATTCATTAACGAGGAAGAGGAATAAAAAGCAGGGCAAAGGAATTGGAATTTGGAGAGGCGGAGGGTCGATTTGCGAAGAGAGAACCTGGAAAGTGGATTTAGGGAAGGAAGGGTAAGAGGAGAAATAATATTTTTAATTCTTTTTTGTTTTTAATTAATAACAAAAATGAGGTCGACGCCACCTCAGTATAATATGTTTAGTCACTAACGGAAAAAATCGTTGACCATCAATTTTAACGGTCAATCCCAACATCGGGCCAAATTTGTCCAATAATTTTAAAAGTGGCCATAAATGTTTTATTTGAAAAATGGAGTCAGAACTGTCACTAATGCTAAATTTCGGGCCAAACAAGGGTATTAACCCTTTACATTTACTATCTACAAATATATTATAGCGGAGTTGGGTCAGTTTTTCAGTGTTTCAAATTTTCTGCAACGAGAGCGAAAATATGAAGGATAATTGTATCTTTACAATTATTATTTATTTTTTATTCATAAGAAAAAAATATCAATCTCGGGATTTGAACCATGGTCTTTCCAAATAAAAAAGACAATCATTACCAATTACACTAAAAAAATGTTATGTATCCTTTTAAATAATAAATCTGAAAACCTAAACTCTAAAAATCATATGACTTTTTCACTACTGTTAGCTAGCCCACTAACTCTCCCGTAAGTACTTTATTTTTTTATTTGATATTTGAATTTTAATATTTTGATTATTTTAATTTGAGTTTAATAATAAATTTAATTTATATCTATCTTATAAATTGAGGATAATTTTAAAATTGTAACCCAAATATCATTGATTCGAATATTGCACATTGAATTGCAATACTTAATGTGCAGATGTGATGTAGAATTCTTAACGTGGTACTAATTTTTATAACTATCAAAGAAACGATAATTTTATGCAAACTGTAAGTGACCAATTTTTTGAAAGTTTTCGTTTGGTTAACTGTTAAATCCTAAATCTCTTGAAAGCCGAGTTTAAAAGACCACAATTTCTTAATACCAATTTTTATATATGATTTCAATTATTTAAAAAATTTATCTTATAGGCTAATTGAACATATGTATCATTCATAGTTACTTGGTTTAATATGAAATAACCGCAGTACAAGACAAATCATGAAAGTCGAGGTGGAGTTTTCATAGACGCATTGATGTGGTCATGTGCATTATTAGCAAGGTAGGCACCACAAGATAGGTTTAATTTGTTTGTTGAATGAATAAGATTGTCCTTCAACTAAATTTAGAGTATGTTGGTTGATACATTATTTTTTCATTGCATAGAGTATGGACGGAAAATGTTATTTTCTTACTAATTTTGGTATTGTATTGTGCAGAATACTTTAAGTTTTAAATATTGCTATATATGTATTGTTTCTCAAGCAAAAGAAATAAATATTGGCTAAAGGTTTTGATCATGAGCTTCCTATTTATGCCACGCTTTTTTCAAACAAACTCTTTTTTTGTTATGCTAATTTTCTTTTCAACCATAGGCAACTAAGTGACTACATCATTAAAAATAGACAAGTTATGAATGGTTATTCACGAGTGTTACAACCAAGGTTGTTACACCTCTATCGGGAAGCTGCTTGGACTAGGTCTGACCAAAATAGTGTTCCAAAATGGGCTCTACAAAACCAAGGTATAATCGTTAGAGAGGGATAAGAAGAGAGAGTGAAAGGGGAGGGGGGAGAGATGCAAGTGGATGGTGGGTGAATCTTGAAATATGTATTTTTTATGAAATATGAGTTTTTAATAGATATAAGTGAGTATATTTCATTTTAGTTACTAAATTTCCATATTATATGTAAATATATTTAGAAAAGGTGTAAATATGTTCATCATTGATGAAAAGTTATAAGAATTAGAAAAATGAAAAAATAATTTCTATGCCATGTTAATGTCATACGAAATTCAGCATTTCAAATAATTTAAAAAATTTAAATACACATCATAAATACATTGTATTCAAATAACATTTCGATCAACAGGTCGGACAATTTTAAAATATATTCCTCCAATTTTCATATGAATCTGTTTGAGACTCGTTACCCTCGTATGTTACAAGGCGCTAACCTGCACGCACGAACAAGGAGGGGGCGCCTGGGCCCGTTAATCCTCCGACGCCCAAGTTAGTTTCCTGGAAGAGAGAAGTGTCTCCAAATCCAAGTTTAGTGAGAGAGAGTCCAACCTGTGTAAATGCTACCAACTGCCCCTATTTATACTTACCAGAGTTCGAGGTTGATCCTCTCTACCTCTCTGCCTTCATTTAATGCTTTGTCCCTTTCTGGCCAGATATCCCAACCACCTTGTCAGACTCCTGGCACGTGACAGGCGCCCGCAGACGCTGGACCACATGACAGTTTGGCCTTCTTTGGCTTCTAGTGACTTGTCTTCATGTGACCTCCCTTTTACTTGGGCCTTGCCCCCCCCCCCCCCCCCCCCCCCAATTGGGCTGTTTGGGAGCCCAAGTTGCCGCCCATTGGGCTTTGTTCCTAATACCCCCAACAATTGCCCCCCCAGCTAGGTGCTCACAGCTCTGCTGCTGAGCGCCTAGCTGACTCGGTTGTTGTTTTGTCCCTCCTTTGGTCCGCAGGCGCCCAGTTTCCTGAGCGCCTCGGCCTCCTTGTTTTGTCTTTTTCGCCTTCTTTCTCTTTCCCCTTTTTTATAAGGCGCCTTGATCCTTTACGCGCCCTTATTCGGCTTCTTTTCGGGCGCCAGATTTGAGGCGCCTCAATCCCTTATGCCCCCCTCATGGGCGGGCGTTTGATATTGGCCCCCACGTTTTTCTTGTTTGAATTTTGGCCAATATTTCAAGTTTTTTTTTTTTTTTTGCCAAAATTCCAACAAAAAGGGAAAAGGTGGGGGGGGGGGGGGGAGCTCAAAAGCCCGCCCTTAATGATGACACGTGGCGCGCTACGCGCGTCTATCCTCCTGCTCCTCCGTTCCTTTAAATACCCCCTCCCCTTCAGTCCTTGTCACTTTCCACATTCTCGCCTCTCTCTAAGATTGTTGCTCTGACTTCTCTCTAGATTCTCTCCTGACATCTCTCTAGATTCTTCTGCTTTCGTCAGCCTTTCCTTCTATTCGTCCGAGAATGTCTTCACAAGCAGACAAATTTGTCGGCCAGGGCGCCCCTACTGCGGGTGAAGAGGCTAGACCAGGCGCCTCGAGCGCGGGTGGCGAGGCAAGGCGCCCAAGTCGAAGCGGTAAGGAATTTCCTTGCTCTATTAGTTGCTTTCCTTATTTTTATTCTAGCTCACTAGGGTAGGGCGTCACTTACTCCGCGGCCGTATTGCGCCTGGGTCGTTTATTGGTTTAGAGAGGGCGCCTGCGTCGACGTCCGCGGGTCCATCAAGCGCCTCCACTCCGGGCTTCATGCCCGCCGATGGGTCCTACAAGATATCTGTGTGGGAGAATTCGTTTCCGCCCGATCACCTCCCGACGGAGACGGACTCGTTGCCTTTCGACGTAGCGGGCCCACAGCACACCTCTACCGTCACCTTGGCACGTGTTCATGAGCTGGTGACCAGCCTCCAACTGCCCCGTGACTGGTGGTATGCGCCTCCTTCCCCTATTTCACGAGTGGGCGTCTGCGGGCCTAAGTGGATAGGGGTGTATCAAGAATACTTCCGCTTCGCGCTGCAGTTCCCCCTTGATCACGTAATGGAGGGTATTCTGACGACCTGTGGCTGCCCATTGGGGCGCATGTCTCCCTCGGTGATCATGGTGGTCATCCTATTCAAGCTGCGCTGCCGCAAACATAACGTGGAGCCTACCTTCAACCTTTTTCGGTACTTTTTCAAGATGGCGCCTCTGGACAACTGCTTGTCGCTTCAAAAGAGGAAGGGGCGCCCTTATCACTTTGTGGAGAAGTGCCCGAAGTTGGGGCGCAGCTGGTTTAACGGGTTCTTCTTCATGAAGGCATATCGAGACTCGTTTTTCGAGAGTGGGGGCGCCTTCCTGAGAGAGTGGAAGCTGGGGAGTGTTGAAGAGTTTAATACAGACGTCAAGTTGTCCCTCGAAGAAAAGGCAGGCGCCCCGCTGATTTGCGAGAGGCGCGTAAACTTGCGCAAGACCGAGAATCGCCCTCCAATTTTGGAGGCGTATTATAATGATGGTCCGTAGGCGCCCATATGTTGCGTCAATGTCTTTATTGCCTCGTCATGTTGTTAATGAATTTTGCTTTTGTGCTAACTTACTTAGCGATGTGCAGGGCCAGACTTCACGAGCATTGCGAAGCTCATGAAGAGCCGCCTTGCTGCCATGGCTGGAGGAGCGCCCCCACCGCCAAGGCCCAAGGCGCCTGTTGCGGCTGCTCCGGAACCGCAGGCGCCTATTGCTGCCCCCAAGAAGCAGAAGAAGAGGGCGGTGAAGGGGGGTACCGCGAAAACCGCTAGCGTGGCGTCTTCGGCACCAGAGGCGGAGAAGGAAGCGCCCCATGTTGAGGCGCCCACTACGGAGCCTACGGAACAGGAGGGGAACTCCGGGGAAGAGGAACCCGAGCCCCTGATTAGACGGGGGAAGCGGGCTGGCTCCCCCTTGGGCAATGCCAGCAAAAAGGCTGACAAGGGGAAGGAGAAGATGGGCGCCCGAAGCGGGGGAGGGGGCGCCTTCGAATACAGTCTGAATGAAGAGGGGCAGTGGGTAGGCCCCGATGGGCGCCCCCCGACCCACACGCCCCGACGTTGGGCGCATCGAGCTGCCATGTTCCCCACTGGTGGCTGTCGACAGAGGCTGTGCCATGGGCATGGCGATTACGGCTGCCAAGATGTGGCAAGTGCCGTCGGAGGTGAATGGGGATCACCTTTTTGCTGAACTGGCGAAAGTGGGCGCCAGGGTACGTTCCCCGTTGTTTGTGTTCTTGATTTTTGGGTTTCTTTAACTTTGCATAAGTACTAACTCTTTGTATCTTGTGTGCGCAGATTCTTCTTTTTGTTGAGAGAGGCGCCCGGCGCCTCTCTGAAACGAAAAGAGAGGCGCTCGAAGCCTCTTCTTCTGCCTCACAATTGCAACGCGACCTTGATAACTCGACGGAGCGTCGCGAGCAACTTGTGAAGGAATGCGACGAGGCGCAAATGAATGCGGCCTTGCAAGTGTCGCAGCTTCAGGGCGCCCTCGACGAAGAGCGCAATAAGTCAGCCACCCTTCAGGCTGAGAAGGAGGCGCTGGCACAGGAGGCGGGCGCCCAGGCTAGTGAAATTGGCATCCTCAAAGAGGAGAAGAAGAGGTGGCAGGACGCCTACAAGGAATGCAAGAAGGATCTGAAAGAGGCGCGGAAGGAGATCACCAACTTGCGCCACTCTTTGGATACCTTCGAGGAGTCCGAGACTGGGAGGAACATGAGCGCCAATGCTATTTTGTCTGGCCTGCAGATCTTTCATAGCAAGCTGGTAAGGGATCACCCTGATCTTACTTGGGATTTTACCGAAATCGCCGAGTATGTGATTGGGGAGTTGGAGACTCCGCCGGAAGCGGGGAATGCGCCCCAACCATCAAATGTGGATGAGCCTCCACATGACTCTGTTCCTGTCTCTCCTTCTCCTAAAGCGCCTAGTGCTGGTGATACCAACTCAGGTGCTGAGTGATTGCAAATGGGCGCCCCATTTTCCTCTGTAGTTTTTTTTTTTTTTGCGTATAATAAAACGTTCTTTTTGACATTGCGACCATACTTGCTGGACTTATTTACTTATCGTGTTATCATTGTGTTTGGGCGCGAGTATTGTGGGCGCTTTGTGGTTTTGTGCGCAAATTTCCTTTATCACTGATTGCCATGTCTCGAGGGCGCAAATGTGGGGGCATAATTGTTCTGACGTTGGGCGCAGAGTTGTGGGCGCTTTGGTTTTGGCGGGCGCAAAATTGGGCGCTTTACTAACTCACTTACCAATTGAAAACTCACAATCGGGCGCAAGGTTAGGGCGCTTTGTTCCACACAAAATTTCTGGGCGCAAAGTTTGGGCGCTTTTACTGCTTACAAAAGGAGAATTGAAAACATGAAGTCACAATCGGGCGCTGAAACACGGGGCGCTTTTGGACACAACACGGCGCTACTTTTACGAGCGCTTTTGGACACAACACGGCGTCTTACATAATTGTCTCTAACACTAACAATGCTCTTGACTACGACCTTTGCCTTCTTGGCCCTCATCGAACGGAGGCGCCCTCCCGGTAAACTCGCAGGTTCTGCGCATTCCAAGTTTGTTTTACGCCTTTGCCGCTGGTATGTTCTAGCTTGAACGTACTTGGTCCCACCACCTCTCGAACTCGATATGGCCCTTTCCATTTCGGTGCTAACTTCCCTTCGTTGGCGTCCGGGCGGAAGTCACGTTTGAGAACAAGGGCGCCCTCGGTGATTCCATGCGCCCGCATTTTCTTGTTGTAGTACCGAGCCACTTGGCGCTTCATCTTTTCCAGCCGGATGGCCGCTACTTTCCTTACCTCATCTGTCATGTCCAGTTCATCGATTCTTTCTCCAGTGGCTGTTTTGTAGGTTGTGCGATGCGCCCATAACACGCTTGGCAGTTCCTCCACCCACTTGCCCTTGGCGCCTGCTAATCGAGTGTGCAACCCGTGGAGAATACTCTTGTTGGCCGCTTCCGCTTGACCGTTTGCCTGTGGGTATGCCACTGAAGAGAACCGCAGTACGACCCCGTTGTCATCACAAAACTCCACAAATTTCTTGCAATCGAACTGCTTTCCATGGTCTGTGACAATGGACTCAGGTAGGCCGAACCGGGTGAATATGTTTTTCTTGGTGAACTTGCGCACCTGTGCTTCTGTAATAGTGGCCAAAGGTTCCGCTTCAATCAATTTGGAAAAGTAGTCGACTGCCACGATCAAGTATTTCATTTGCCCGGGCGCCTTGGGAAAAGGGCCTAACAGGTCCATGCCCCATTGGGCGAAAGGCCAGGCTCCCACATTGCCCTGCATGGGCGCCGCCGGGACATGAATGTCATTTGCATGAGTTTGGCACTGGTGGCAGGCGCCCACGTGTGTCCTCGCGTCCCGTCTCATCGTTGGCCAGTAATAACCTTGTCGCAGCAGCGTTTTTTCCAAACTGCGCGCCCCCGCGTGCATTCCGCACGTCCCGCTGTGCACCTCCTCGATTGCTCCTCTGTTTTCCTCCTCATTCAGGCACCTCAAATATGCTCCCGAATGAGACCTCTTGTATAACGTATGGAGCACCGGGCCGCCTTT